ATTGTGGCAAGATATGCTTACTCTGTCTGCTGCACTCTTCATGAGTGCTTCGGCTTTGGTTCTAAATGCTCTTGTAGGAGATTTGACAGTGATCTGCATTTAAAAAAAAATTGTGACATTCACATAGTAAAAAAGAGAACAAGATGTTTTACTATAATGATATAGTAAAAAAGAAAAAACAAAATATTGAAACCTCGTTTGTGTCTGAACATTCACATTAGATGGCTTGTGAAAAGGCTACAGACATATAAAGAAAAAAAAAATATTACATAATGTGGTACATGCTAATTTTAAATATAATTGTTAATATATTTGTTCATAATCAAATATATAATGGATGATAAAAAAACCGTCTCTTTTGCAGCTGATATGTGGATAGTATCATCTAGCATTCCACTTCCATCAAGATCTTCACTCGTGTTCCCTTTGTCGACATGTTGCTCTTCACTTGAAACACCCTAAGTTATCAAGGAACATGAAATCAGTTTAAATATATACTTAAAAAATAAAGGAACATCTATGATGTTTATATATATGGTATATATGACAACATATTATCTGATGACCTACTATAACAAAAACTCATAACATGCTTGCACAGAAAAAAATAGGTATGTGCACAGGAATATGTAACTTAGATATACAAGAATATTAATAGGGACTTGCACAGGAACATGGGACAATGGGGCTTAGCAAAAATTATCCTAGAATATAATTTTGATATACCAAAATATATCTTTGATAATATTAAAGGTACTTCCACAGGAACAGGGGACAGTGGGACTTTGCAAAAATAACAGAATATTACTTAGATATAGATACATCCATTTGTCAAAAATCACAAAAACAATGTTTTTCCCCCATTCAGATATAAACTCTTATAGAAAGCAATATATGTGTGGTATATGTTAACACATATATACTATGTATTCAACTGAGATGTACCTATTAATTATAGGAGATAAAAACAGTTTATATGTGTGGTATATATGAACTCATATAATCTGAACATATAAAGGAAGCAATAAAAATCTTGTGGATATAACCACAAATATATTATTTTAGTAGCACATATATAGTAAAAAAATGACAACATGTAGTCTGAGCATATATAATATATATGAACACATATACTATATAGTATATGAACACATGCACTATATAGTATGTGAACACATATACTATATAGCCAAACCTAGAAAGGAAAATGTGTGTGGTATATATGAACACATATAATCTAAGCATATACTATATATTCAGCTTAGATGTACCTATTAATTATAGAAGATCTAATCAGTTTATATGTGTGCTCTATATAAAACACATATAATCTGACCATATAAAAGAGGCAATAAAATACTTATGTATGTAACCACAAATATAGTATATTAG